AGCGCGCTCGCCGGCCGCTTGCGTTGCATCGTCACTAGCGGCGGCGCGGAACAGGTGCATCTATGTCGGTGACTCGTGCCAACGGTATCTCGCGTGTGCGTTTTTGCGTCTTAAGGATCCTAAGGATGGGGTCAACGACATCCTCGCGGTACGCGCCAATGACAGACCGGCGCGGAGGACGGATGCGCCGCGCAAAGAACGACGGTACGAGCACACTTGAATTGGATCACGTTAAGCAAAATGAACAAGTGTATGAACGAGTTATCCAGTCGGCATTAGCACAATTCTGTTGCGGAAGAAGACGCGAGAAATAGAAACAGTACAAATCCGAGACGCACAGCTTTGAAGGAAATATAAACTTTCATGAAATATATATATATGTATCTCAAGGAAATACAAAAATTATTGAAATCCCGGAGTGGAGTCTCTGTTGCGTGGAAAGGCAGATGTATCGCGAGGCATAAAAAAAAATCGTGGACATCACCCATAAAGTCACGGATCTAATTTTGCGGTTTAGAAGTGTAATGGGTATTCCTGCCGTACGCCCATTAAGTTAATGAGAACATCGAAACGGAAGAAAGCGGAGTCGGCGGAGTAAGTCGAGAGAGCACACGCCTTTGCCGTCCTTAGCCGCGAGCGTAACCGAGTCCGCGAGTTTTACGTACGCGGCTATCCGCCGATAATTGTTACGCGCGAGGACTACGCTTACGCGATAGGTGCATCGTGTTCCGCATCGCTCGTTTCAGCTGTCCTCGTTTGCTCGGTTACTGGCTCATTTTCAACGTTTTCCGTGCGTTTCCGCGAAGCATCGGGAGGATTTATCGGTCTGCGGATAGTATTAATTTTAAACAGGCGCATTTTTGTGCGCGGCTACTCCACCGCGCTCCCGTCTTCTCCCTTGTAATAATGATCGGCGCTCGGCGATCCGGGCCTCTCGGAGGTACATTATTCAGATTTGGCACACACTTATCGCAACTTGTAAAAAGATCAGTTCTGCTTACCGCGCCTCTGCTTACAGCACTTTACTGCACTTAAGATGTAAGAAGTACGCAATTACGCTTCAAGGAGAAAGAGAGAGAAGAAAGAAAACAAGTCTAGAAAGTACAGCTTTCAAAAAAAAAATAGAGCGAAAGTTTTCTTAACATTAGTCCAATTATTATTACAATAGCAGGTTTTTCGAATATATTAACTTCTATTTCTGTTAAAAAAAAAATATTAAAATTATTCATTTATTCTGAAGTAATTATATTATTTGGTCGAAGCAATTTGTCGACACTCGAAAAGTGTTATAAACTAAACGTTTAATTTACATATATTTTTATATTATTTTTAAGCAAATAAAATTTAAAGTAAAAATACGTCTACCGCACTTCCAAGAAGAGAAATACATGTGATTAGTAATGTTGATCAGTAAGAAAATTTGTGGTTTTCCTTCTGCATCATTCGCGCACACGACGTACACTTTTCGGATGCTGTGCTATTTTCACAAAAACACGTTTTGAATGGGCAGAAAGGGCTCTCATAGACTCGAACATCTCAGGACCTCGAAACGAACGAGCGAAAATACGCCTCGGGAGACCGCGCGCGAGAGACGCGAGACGATGCGTTCGACGAGCTAAAGCAGGTCGGTCGGAAATAAGCACAAAGCCTACTGTCAGCTGCCAAAAGATTTAATCTTCCGTGGATTGTATTGTGCGACCCTGCCTAACTTCTAAAGATTCAAGAGTTACCGTGAAACCTGCACGGCTGTTTGCTCCAAGCAACACAATGTTTAACGGCTTACGTTCTATTGTTAACCGCGAGATCTAATGAACGCCTCGTGAAAAGGATGCGACTGCGCTAACAATATCTCAGGAAGACTCTGGTAAATAATAATTTTGCCAAAGTAATACGAGTAATTGTTCCATCCGCATTGCTACCTCATAAATGTCTTTACACATTTTATTATATTTTTTAAAAAATTTTACGACATACTCTTTTTATAAACGAAAAAATGCTTTTATGTAAATATGACTTAATAATCTTTCTAATCGTTATATTATCCACGTTTATATGCATAATCATGTATGTAAATGTAATGTTATATATTAAGAGAACCTTCTCTGTGGAAACAGTATAGGTCCAGCGATCTAACGAAGCAGGATTCCGCAAAGGATCCGTCGGTATTTTAATAAGAATCGACTGCTCACCCCTCCCTGGCACAGTAGAAACGCGATCCGTAGATTGCGTACGGTGGCGAAGCATTACGCGTTTAAATTGAGCGAGCAGTTGGCGAGTACCCAATCGTTGATCCGATCGCCTAATGAGACTTTAATCGCCGGTAGATTAAATTTAAATTACGGCCTAGCCGTCCAAGTATTCCGTCGCACTCTCTCCCGCTCTCCCACCCCTCTCTCTCCCGCGTCGTCACCACTCGCGCCGGTATTTTTTTTTTTCAGCGAGGCAAAGGTTACCGTCGGGTCCACGTTAAAGTGCATCGCGACGTACGCCGGAATGTGGTTCAATCTACCCGTGCCACGCCGGCGATACTGCGGCTGCGCGCGGTTTGATTTATGCACGGAGATACTTAGTTGGTGTAGGGGCAAAATAGAAGGAGTCTCTCTCTCTCTCTCTCTCTCTCTCTCTCTCTCTCTCTGGCAAATCGAGCGTATGTCGCGTGATTGCGGGGACACGTATTATCGGGGACGAGCAGCCCGCGTGCTGCATTCCGCTGAAAAGTTATCCTCTCCGTCTCACCGAAGTGCTCCCCCGGCTACCATCTCGCGATTAATTTTTCAAGCGAGCCCGTAAATTTATTAAAAGCGTAAACGAACAGTGGAGAAATCCCTGTACGATATATACTCCGCCGCCGGGATATTTCACCGTTTCACCTTGCTATCTCTCTCTTCAAAGCAGCGATCCTTTTAGACTGCTTGGTTAATCGCGGAGCTCTTTCCACGCGGTCAGCAAGATCTTGCGCAGAGAGCCCCCACGCATAAATTGTACGCACACGCGCGCATGACCGCATGTGTTTTTCCTGACAGCTGTACGCGGTTTGGAGAGTAAGCCTTCATTTTCTGCCATGATTTATTCCGGTCAGTAACGTGCTCTTTTTGTTCCGTCACTGGTAGAGTCTCATGACTGTACGAACCAGTTTGAGAACCGCTATTCTAAACTGACAAGGCACAATTCGCACGCAGCGTGCGCTGTATAAATAGCTAGAAGACGATGCTGTTATATTAATAGTATAGCATTTTTGCGAATTTACGGATAATATTAGCGATGAAAATTGCTAAGAACGGCTAATTATTGCCATTACCGTGTGGCGATCCCGCAAGACCATTTTTCCTGAAAAGCCACATTTTTTCCCGAGAGATGTCATAAATATCTCTGCAGGTCTCTTTTAGAGACAGAATCTAAGAAATATCCGGGAGATAATAAAATTATGATTAATATTAATTCGAGTCGAAAGACTTCTTCCCTCTTGACCGTTCAAGGGTTAATAGTTGGAAGCGGCTGTGCAATAGCGAGTGGAAAGTGTGGATGTTACTTTAGGAGATTCTCGCGGTCAATAAAACGGAGGAGACACGCTCGCAGCTGTCGTTCGGCGCGGCTCTCTCGCTACATTCTCGAAGTACCCGGATTCCTACGTGCGTAATAACAGACGACAGGCCGATGACTATAATTATCGTATCTACGCGTAACAGGTGTCGCACCTACTCGGCACGCTTTTATCAACATCGTACGTGACCGGGGACGTAGATACGAGACGTACTAATAACTGTGGCTTGCGTGCGTACGTTCGAGCAAAGCAACCAACGACTTCGCGGATAATCGCTTGTTTAAACCGCCTGTGACAATATATCACGGCAAATGCAATGTAATACGTAATTTTCGATGACAGTTACACGCGCGCCTATATTTTGGCGTCGCTGGATCGAAGCGAATTATTCTCGTTATCTTAAAAATGCGATATCCGTACGTATCTATTAATTTCTACATGTGTACACACACGAGCGCGAAAGACGACTGAAAGGTTCTATGTATCTTTAGACAGCTGTTTTGTTATAAGAGTAGCTGCTGTTTGACGTAAGATAATCCCCTGCACGTTACAAAACAAAAATGTGACGTGAGATATCCTATCAGAATTTCCCAAAACGTTTTTAAAGTTATATTCTTTCATACCAGGTCTCTCCAGATTCTATTTTGTAATCAAATACAGGGTCTACTAGGCTTCGCCTGACAATGATTGAGAATATGTCGCATGTTTGAACAGGATATTTTTATGGCATGAATTAAATTTCTGAATATTTGTCTATTCCTGTTTTTTACCTGTGTACAGCGCATTAAACTGGTATACAGCCGATACGAACAACGGATTTAGCCGTGTGTCTACACCCACGCAAGTATCATCTTTCCTGTTGAACAATATGCCGAAGGCGCAAAGGTTTCTCCATGTTCGATGCGGAAAAAATTATACGTCATGGATACGCGAACGAGTGAAAAGTGAAAATTAATGGACATTTTATTTCTTTGCTGCAATTCAAGTATAATGTAATTATACAATTATTGTATAAGTATATAAATAAGATTTAAAAGTTATTAGAATTAAAATGTTGAATCTCAATAGCTATTCTATTCTGAAATAATCGTCGACGTATAATGTGGAATCAAGATCCCATGTTATAGAGGTCAGAAAGGGAGAGAAAATGATGCGAGAGAGAGAGAGAGAGAGAGGGGGGGGGGGCAGACTGCGTGTGAACGTTTCTTTTATCTCATTGAGAATTTCCTCGCAGGAGAGTGAATAGTCACCTGTGAGAAGGGGGTCATTTTCACAAAAACGAGGGGAAAGCTCTTAAGCAACGTGCGCGGAGGCGCATCGCGTAGAGTTCACTCTGGTGGAGGATTCCCAAGTTTATCTCGGCCCATTGTCCGCGCGTGTTACCTCAAAAATAACTTTCATGCGCGACTTCGTGTGAAGTGTCCTAATCGCGATATTTGTCTCGCCTGGAATTAACCTTCAAAAAAACAAGAGCCGTCTCTTAACGGAGACAAACAAACGATCGTACACCGGTTTCTCCGATGAAGATGGACGTGTGCGATGTAGAGCTCGGAGATTTCACCCTTTCGTTCTGCCAAAGATCCAACGATTTATCATTGTGATGATTAGAATTGCGTGACCCTGCGCGCGGAAGAAAACTCGCGGAGTAATGATACGTTGACGGCAAGAAAGAGTGAAATTCTGTAAATCACGCGTTGCCAGAACGAACGTAATTTTCATTCAAATTTCCGTTACACAGTATAAGGACATTAGAATAATTTATGCCTACGGATTAGTCGTATATTACTTGCTCTAACGGATATACCTACTCAACAATTAGAAAAAGAAGGAAGGACAAGGCGACCTTAACGTTTAATTTATTACCTAAATTATGTCCCATCAAATCAAGAATAATTTCATTACTGGCTATATAAGTTTTTTGCGTTATATCGGTCTATTAAGGCTGCCAAATAAAAACAAACAGAATAAACGACTAAAATCAAGCTAGCAGAGATTAATTGGATATAGAGATCGCAAAATCGCCAATGATATTATCTCGTTACAATAAAGAATTCAAAGTGTGTGTATGCATCAATATATATAATCGCACATTTTTATAATTTTCCGAACAAAATAAAATTCACTAATAAAATTACACCTTGACATTTTCGAGAGTTCAATATTTATTTTATTTTATTTTTAGACAAAATTCTTTCGTGCGTAATCATGCTCGTTTGGCCGTGATATTTAAACGAGTTCGCGAGGAAAGAGAGCTTCGAAGATTACGAAATTCCGTTGTAATCGCAGGGCCTGGATTCGCGTCATTATTCAGGAATTAAAACAATACGCACAGGTGTGCTGAATGGAAATCTACTTGGATGGCGTACCGCCGACGCGCAGAGAAAGTTAGTCGTGATGCGTACCTCCTTCATCATCTTTCGCGGCGTCCATCGCTCGCTGTCGTGTCGCGTCGTCGAGAATGGCTTAAATCGGCGATAACAAGAAAGTAGACGCGAATGCGCGCGAGCTCGCGTCTCTCGTCGCTCGCCTGGTGCCGCATACTTCGGCGACGATGAACCGGTTTTCTAAACTGGGAGAAAATGGCGAATGCAAATGCGAACGAGTAATTATAATGACGTATAATTTGATATGCCCAGCCGATCGACATACTCGGGTGATCTATATTTAGATATTTCGATTTCCGATTGCCTGGTTGCGCTCTTTTATCCAGCCTTCGATCATCAGCACCCATTAACTCTTCGTTAATTTATAAAGTGCACGAATGAGACTTTCGTTCACAAGAGAGCACGCTCCTTAATTCTGCTATTCTATTCAAATTCACTATGCGATACGATCGTATCATTTGGGTCAATATGATAAACAAGTTTTAGAAAATAAAATATAAAAAATTTTCATCAGAAACAAAATCGTGAAATATCAGAGAAGAGTTTTTAAATAAAATACATATTAATTAAGAAAATAAACTACATTTTTTCTTCAAATAGACACAAACAGAATGCAGGGTTAAACACGTTAAATTCGAATCCGCATAGCAAGATACGAAAAAGCGAATCGTTATTTACGTTCGAGCGCACAAGGACCGATTCGTTTACTACAATGTGACCGTATCGTTGCGGATACACGGCCGCGCGCTGCTCGAGGCTGCGGTAAGAAGAAATAATTGCCAAGTGCATTAAGTCTATTAGCGCTTTTGCCGTCGACAGGAACCGACGAGTCAGTCTACGTATAGGTACTGCCGCGCGTTTAATTAATCGCCTTTTCAATATATATTTTGTGAACGTCCCTGGCACGGTCATTCTCGTGCATCGACCTCCACCTCCTCCGACCCCCTCCCGACCGACCCTGCGGGGTCTACTCGAATAATATTAGATGGAGGCGTTAAGGAGACTTCGACGGATTACCGATGCCGACGAAAGTACAATGGTCGTGAAAGCGCGACAGCCGACTTCCTCCGTGACTATCCATAAAGCGGACAAATAAGCGGCTAAAGCGAATCATCGATTTCTACCGCGTGGCGGTCATCCTCCTCTCCTGTCTCTCTCTTTACCTGCTCTCGCGCATTTACGATTGTTTGGGATTTCCGGTGCCGAGAGGTATAAAGAACGGGAAGCGACGCGTTTCCTCCACCTGTGTTCCGCATGTAGAGCAAATCGCGTCGATTACGGTGCTGGATAAAAAACCCGCGTTTCGTTCTTAACGACGCAGCTATACGGGATCATCGTCAGAATGGAGCAAGTTTTGTAGAAATTATATACATTGTATATATGTAACGCGCGTGCACTTGTGTGCGGTACTAATGCTATATTATATACACTCTAATGTGTAATTGAATGCTTAGAACGCCATGTTAAAAACTCGAGGAAAGCGAACGAGCTTCGTCCGTGAATTTTATAGGTGTCGTACAACTCCTAATATTCTTCGATATATCTGCGCAGAAAGAGAGACTTTCACGTATTTTTACAAAGCCCTAAATTTTAAAGCGAGGAAGTACCATTTGCATTGAGACGGCGGATGGCCTCGCCGGCTTTCTAAATTTGTATCAAATACTAAGAAGCGTCACTTTCACCGGTCGATCGATAAACTCCGCGCGCGCACAAACGCGCAGTTAGAACTGCGAGGAGGAATCTGCGGTCGAAATCATTCTCTCGACGAATTTCGAGGGAGGACAATTCGAGGAATTCCATTCTGCTAATACGGAAACCGAACGAGTCATCGGCGCTCGTGTCATAAATGAGATGTCGTAATATACACATTTTTTCGGAGTGAGACCGCAGAGAACGGACCGCATGGTATTAGTCGTCACGTAAATATTAAACCTGTGACGATAGGCACGCCAAGATATTTATCTCTATAAGATAGACAGGTTGTTTAAATAACCTGAAGTGTCCTCGGGCTATTTCTTTCTATCATTGCACCGGGAAAATGATGCATAATATTCAAATGAAAACGCGAAATTCTTGAAACAAAATAAAGATATACGAAACACGAATAATTATTACAAAAAATATATAATCTTCCTTATTTATGGAATAATATACATATCCGTATTGTGCGCAAAATTTTAATCGAATCGAATTAACGCAGTTTAATTAAGCGAAGAGTTTAAAAGCCGTCTAAAATAAATCTTAAAAAATTTAAAGATTACGATCTTACGATATTTTTCGAATGTTTGTTATTCGATGCTTATACGTTCTAAAAAAAAAAAAGATCTGTCATTCTGATTATATTTAATTATGCTATATATGGACGCTCCGCGCGGATGAAACGACGTTTTTCCCGATGAGAAACATCGCGATGGAAATATCGGCAAGCTCGCGTGTCGCGGTTTGCCGGAATTATTTCGCAAACCGCGCCGTTATAAATCAACTCCGGTTTAATGGAGTCTATTATGTAACACGCCAAAATAACACACGCGAAACACTTGAGCGCCGGTTGTGCTAATGGAAACACGTTCGCGCGACATCGCACGCAACCAAAGGCGCGCGCGAGGAGACCATCCGTCCAATCTGCATCGTTAATTATTAAGCCACGTATTAACATCTGCGCCGGGTTATCTCGTGTACCGCGCGGGACCGTCTCGGACCAGGTGACCCACGGTGTCGAGAGTCAACAAAGACGCTCGTAAGTGTGCGCAAGCCGGATATTTAAATGTCCCGTGTGTCTCGCTCGTGTGTCAACGTGTTTACTTAGCGTGGTGACTTCGCGCGCCCCGGCAAATTTTCTCTTTCTCTTCGCGGAACAATTTCGCATCCAGGCGGGTAATAATCAAAAGGATTGCGAATCGGTGAGCCCGGGCTTGCTCAACTTGGACTGTTGGTGCAACTGGGCCGCGTGTTGTCGCAACGCGAGAGCGATTCCGTTGTATCCCGGAGGCCGAAAATCCGAGCGTCTCGCTTCGTAATTTCTATGCGCACGTAAAAATATTCTTACAGCCCGTCGAATAATAAGGACAGTTTTGTTTGCGAGTCAATCGTAATTTTATCGAATCCATCACGCCCGTATCTCTTCGAATATATATGCAAGCAGAAAACTATCAGTATATGGCCGGTATATTTATTCATAGTCCAATCACAAGATCTTGAAGATAATCTTGAATATAAATTCAAGATTATCTCAAGTATGATCTCGGGACGATTTACGGTCATTTTATTGGCTGACTGGAATCTTAAGATTGTCCAGAATCAAACGATTCAGTTCAGACGATTTTAAATACAAGATCGGACTACGAATACCGCCCCTAAGACGTCACGTCGCGATATAATCAATCGTTCAATTAATTCGCGCGTAAAACTTGTCGACATTCCTATGATTAGCTTTTTCGCAAGTTTTTTTTAGAAAACTACGCGATACAAAAAAAAAGAATCCCGAGAAAGGGCGAGGCGAGGATAAGACGGATGTTTACGGCATCGTCTGCGCTTCTGTCGCCGAACGCCCGCGGCGCCAGACACCCTTCGGCGCCGTGGTAATTGCATTATTTCTCGTTGACCGATCGTGCGCTAACCGGGATTCGACGATGCGACGTCGAATTAAGAGTGGATTTGGGTCAGACGTGGCGACGCGCGGAGGGCGCAGCACGGTAGCAGCCGAGAGACGAGAAGTGCGTATACTTATACACGATCTCTCGCGTTTACGATCTCTTCCCGGAACGCAGACACGCTCGCTCGCCCGACCGCCGCACGGCGGTACGCCTTTCTAAACTCTCGCGTGCGATTTTCGCAGATCCGTCGCGTGCGACCTGACTATTCACGGGATAATCTCACTCACCTTGCGAGAGAGACGTTTCCCTGCGTCGAGTAAATATCCACACAGAACGGACGATCCAAAAACGATCCTCACTGCGGAGACGCAAAGGAGGAGCTATGGCGGGCGGCTGGATGGTTCACCCGGATGGTCCGTGCGCTTGTCAAAACCACCTTATCGATCGCACTTGAATCCGGCGGCGTGCAAGAAGCGCGGAAAACGACGACGAGCGCACGATCTTCTCGCCGCGCCGATGGAACCGGGGTATCACTGCCGCTGGGCGTTGTGTGTTGGTCGCGGAATCCGAGGCGCGCGAGAGATCAAGAACGCCTCTCCGTAAACGCGAGCGCGGAGGAGTGAGAGAGCAAGAGGGAGAGAGAGAGAAACAGAGAAAGAAAGACAGAGAGAGACAGGAACGCGGAGAAACGAATCGAGAGAACCGACCGAGCCGGTTTACCGTGAGGAACTGATCGGGTAGAATTGTTTGGTCCGCAGCCGCGGCTTCGGCCGTTTACGCCGCCGCTCGGCTCGGCTCGTGACTGCTCGCGCGATTACGGCCGGCGGGTGAGCGTAGTCCGCCGCTCGGACCGCTCCGGCCGTCTTCGGCGTGCCTCGTACGCGACAACCTCGACGAACTTTTGTGCGGGTCGAGGCCGAACGCGGTGGATATAAGGAGCGGGAGAGGAAAGGAGAGAGGGAGAAGGAGGGTGAGGCTTCCCGCGGCGGCTTCCCGTTCTTATTACGGCCGTTACATACCTCCTCATCCTCGACCTATCTCGTTAACTCCGTAACAATTCGTCACTTTCTGTTCCTCGCTTAAATGAGGCTGAACGACCACGGGTCACATTGTTGTTGCCGCCGCGACGCGGACGGCGAGCAGCGCGGCGAGTCGCCGGCGTCAATCGCCAATCGCGCCCACCCAGTCGGCGCACGCGATTTCGCAAGGTTCTTTGTTGAAGCCATCCTGGGCGCACGGTAGCCCGCGCGAAAATATACGGTATGATACCTTCGTTTATGCATGTAAGTACGACGTGTATATAGGTACGCGAGAGCGGAACAAGGGACGTGGAGCGAGGATAATCTTGTGTTACGCTCGAGAGTCCCATGTAAGATCTGAATCGGCTGATAAACGCGTATCCATCATCCGTCGCCGCGCGACAGTGCTATATATGTATAAAAAAATGTAGCAGCCATATCCATATCCTGACTTTGCGATACCGATACGGCTCTGCGCCGCTGGAATTTATTAAAATGGAAGACGGAGTAAATGCGTGGCAACAGTTACATCGTTTCTCTTTTTCGATCAATATATAGTATAATATTAAAGATGGTCTTATAAAAATAACATGAGTGATATTCGTTAAATTTAATTGCGAATTATTTGATTCTTCGATGCCCAAAATATTTATAATTTATTTAGATTATTATCCAAGCAGAATAAAAAATTATCTATGAAAGTCAAAATGGCTCCAAGAGAATTATTAAAAGTTATTAAATGATTATTATGAATATCGTTCCGATATTTCACGATTTATTTTTAACGAATAAATTATTTTGACGTTGCCGCGTGACTTGTTTTACTTGGACAGTATTCTGCTTTTCCCGTAATTCAATTCGCGGAACGTTTCTACGATTAAAAATAAGGAATTCCAGGGCGATATACGTCGTGTTTACGGACAGCACGATCGCCGAAATCTTACTCATGTCCCGGGCTATGCGCGGCTCGCGCTTTAAATTACGACCAGGAAGATGGTCGCCGCGTTCTCCTCGCATCCGTTCACTCTCCACCATCTGGATCCTTTGTTTCAGATCTCCTCGTCCTTCCCTAGACGTGCGACACGTGCGTCTCTCCCTTCCTTCGCCGGACTGGAAATGAGAAACGCCGAGGGCGAGGCTTGTTTCGCCGTGTTTGGATGAACGGAAAACGCGAGGGGATCGAAGGAATTCGGTCGAGTAATTGAGGTAGGCTCTTGCATGTTTTTCGAAAATACTGGGATATTTAAGCGAGAGAATCCGAACGTCGGCGATTTAACTCTTCAATTATGAAAGAGTGCAGATGATAGAAGAAATCTATGATATGAAATACCGAATCTCAAGTAATAAATTTTTGTTGTCGTTTCATACACGTATATATATTTAGTCATATAATATTTACTATTTTCTGTGCTGATAACGGTGATTTTTTCTTTACATTCATTATTTCGAAATATAATTCTTTGACCTGAGAATTTAGTTAAAGAATACTTTATCATTACAATCAAAAAAATTTTTCGTGCAATGAAGAAATATTCTGACGTATTAATAGTACGATAATGAATAAATGAAAATGTGTTGGACTATATTATTTCTCTTGATGATATAAGGGTATAGAGACAATAAGAATTATGTATTGATGAATTTAAAAAGTAATATTTATGAATTAATTAAACCAAGGTATAAGAGATCAACAATATTTAAATTATTATTCGCTGAAATGAAATGATGGAATTAAAAAATGCCGCAATATTATATGTTTAAAATCACGATGAAGAAATAGAATTTATTTTCGTCCTCCTATAATCATATTCGTCTCCACGTTTCTCTTTATTGAATTACGTTTGCCGACCCGTCGCAGGTCTCGTTCGCGGTTCGATACGTGTCGAATATATTTGGCATTCCAAGCACCTGCGCTCGTCGCATCTCGCATTTTGATTTCGGAAAAAATAGAGGCTGTAACGAGTGCCAGTCTACGGCGGTGTACGCCGTCCGCATAGCGATTCGCGTATAGCCATTCATGATGTGTGCGCGCCGTGTTTTCGAAACTGTAACTTTCTACCGGTTTCGCGTTTTACGCGACGAATCCGCGACGTTTGCCGGACCACCCGACGGAAAGTTTCGCTAGATCGGACGGGAAGAGGGAAGAGGTCGAAGAAAGTGATCTCTCAACTTCCGTGGCGATCGCTTATTCCTATTCCCGTCGCGTTTTGTCCGACGAAAGCGATACTGTAAACACATTCCCCGCTTCTCGCGGCAAGCGGCCCCGCGGAATCTGCTTATTCACGAAGTTAACAGTCATGGCGGAGCGGATGACCTTACCGCTTTTCACTAAAAAAACCCGTGATGTAACTCGACGGCGACGTGGAAAGTGCCGAAAAGTACCTATCTCGCTCGACGCATGACGCCGTTTTACCGACCTCGCGATCTTTATGCGTCTCGCGAAACATTTACCGCGTCACGCATCGCATCGATCACAGCGTAAGAGAAAGAGAGCGAGAGAGATCTCCAGTTGGAGGTTTAAATTGCGCAAAAACGAGGTATTGTACGGAGTAACGATCGTGCACGGGCGTTTACGAGCACACAATGCCGTAATAACGCCTCGTATACGCGCTGCCTCGCCTACTAATCCAAATCTCGAAACGCGACATTCTCGGATGAGTTCCACCTGCGTTGATGTATGCGCGCCGGTGGATTAGTCACGCGGCCTCCGAGAGAGCGCGAATCGAAATAGAACGCTTAGTCAGACGTCACCAGGAACTGCATCGGGGGAGTCACCGGCCGGCGCGCGGCCGCAGCCGCCTTACTTTGTTACGCTTTATGAGCCTATTCGGCATTTCGCAGCGATCTACAACAGTGATCTCTGCGCAGAGAGATTGTATCGGATAGCCGTCGAAATGTTTCTTACACAGAACACCTTCGTAATGAAAAATACTTTCTAATAACTGATTATCGCGCCGAGAAAAGTACCTGTTCAACATTTCAGCGATCTAAAGCAGTGATCTATAGCACAGATCTGTTTATGAGATTTGTGAGATTGCATAGAGCAAAAATTTCAAATTTTATAGAGCACTTTATATTTTTTCATAATTTATCGTATATGGCGTTTAGAGAAGACATGATACTTTTACTAAACTATGTTTTAATTTTTTTGCAAAATATTTGGGATATTATAGTAATGAAAGGAAATTCATATAACATTGATCTATAATTTTCAAATTGGAGATATTATAAAAAACACAAAACAACTTATACAAAAATTTTACATTTAATGAATTTTTTAAAATTTATACACATTCATTAGGTCTTTCATTAAGTTTAAAATTCTGTTTTATGAGATTGACTATAATTTATTATGATGTATTTCCTGCAATATTTTCATGCGCGTGTATTTCAATTGATGTAATTTCTTCTGAAATGAATTTAATAAGATTTTTTTTTTTAAGAAAATAATTACGCCTTTCGCGCGTGGCGAATGATTAAAAATTTACAAAGGTACACGGAGAGAATTTTCTTTTAAAATTTACCCTGAAAATCATGTTAATTGTGAGAAAATATAGTATTTAGGTAAATTTTACTGTGCACTACAATAAATTTTACTGCGAAATCTTATTGTAGTGCACAGTAAAATTTGCCTAAATACTATATTGTCTCATAATTAACATGTTTTGTAGGGTAAATTAAAAAAAAATTCTCTCCGTGTATAAGTACAGGCTTCACGGTTAGCGCTAACTACGATGTGGTAGCGGCAACCGCATGCCACGGTGGTTGGCGTGTGTGTAGGAGCTAGTTTCAGATCCCAGAGATCTTAAAAGGGAAGCACACCTGGATCGCTCGAGATGTTTATTTGTACCCGCGAAGCGGGTACGCTCCGATCGCGCGCAGCGCCGATCTCGGCACTCGATGCACACTTTAAGCTTCGACCGACTTTACAACAGCCTATCGCTATACTTCCAATGCAAATCGCGGATTCCAAAGCCCGTAGACTTAAAGTATCAATTAGATGACGTCTTATATTCTCCTATAACATGTTATATTTTCGATTTGAAAATTATATAGATTAATCTAATATGAATTTCTTAATTTTCCTTCATTGCTGTAACACCAAGTATTTTGCAAAAAAAATTGGTGCAACAATGTAGAAATATTTGATCATAATTAAGTAACAGTGAAATGTCATAGTAACGAATAACGATAGATACGTTATTCTATAATGCCATCATTGTTATTCACCTAAGTATTCCTATCCAACACTTACATGCTACGTCTTGATTCAATATTCGAATCAGACGTAATCGACGAGTCCTTGAATAATGCGTGGGTGAATAGATTATTGACGAAGGAAGTTCCTCGCGCGCGAATCTTTCCTCGCCACGGACACGCGCGAACATGTATGCATACATATGTTCGTTCGTTCATCCGCTGCTTCGCTCGTGCACGTAAAAGCGTACCTTTACGAACCTTACTGTCGCTCGTACGCGCATTCAATCGCGTTGATAATCCGCCTTAGAAAACTAGATGCGACGAGCGAGTGCCGTGAACTCACGCGCCTTGTAAGCCAAGGCGCTATTGTTACGGTGATGATTGCACGCGTTCGCTCGCGTGACGCCGGCCATTCGCTTTCTCTCTATTTCGTCTCTTTTCATTTCTATTTACGTATGATTTATGCGACATTGCGCTGTTGGGCGACAACACCGTGTCGCGTTCGCATACCAGCAAAAAAAAAAAACAGCCCCGTACATATGCATATAAGGGCATCGATACCATCGAGAACGTCGCGCAATCAGATTTACTAATAAAATCGGACGATCCCGCGTGAATAAAGTGCAGGAAAATGTCATCCAAGTGTCGGTAGCCAAGTGAAAAATTAATTTACCATTACTTAACCAGATTGCAGCTGGCTAATCGATAATTAACGGGAGAAAGTATAAGCCAAGAAATTCGTTTACTGGATGGTAATCTCGAAGTAAGCAGAAAATGCCAGAGTTACGTGAGCGCGCCCCAACTGCCGGTTGCATCAATGTTGGTTAACTTTAATTGTAACCTGCTCCCTCGCCTACCGCTAATTCTAGTTCTAGGAAAGAAGCGAGGATTCAGTAAAAATAAAGTTTACAGTTAACCAACATTGGCATGTTTAAAGAAAGAGAGAAGGATGGTACCGCGATCGTGCTCCGCGCGGCGGGCACGACACCCACCGAATTTATGTCTGTGAACTCCGGTGAACTCCTGAACTCTCTCGTCGTCTCGGCTCCTTCTCAGAGCGACAATGATGAAAGAATGGCATCCTCGGCCGTTCGCGCTTCGATGTCGCGCACACGCGTGTACACGCGTGGAACGATCGCTAACGGGGTTACGGGACTTTAGGACATAGCTATCGCTCAGCGCACTATGATAATGCGCGTCGTGAAACATCTACATGTCGAGTAAACATATGTATCACCCTTGCTTGAAAAGTGACGCAATTTAAAAAAAAAAGTGCTTTTTAAATTATTGTCGTAAATAAATGAACATTATCTTGTTAATTATCAAAAGTCTGCAGAAAAACTTAATTAAAAAAATTTTTTTATGTAACCTTTGAGGCGATATGTAAACTCTGAATATCATAAAAAGCTTTGTTAGTTCAAAAAATTCTATGTATGTTTGATTAACATGTGACAGTCAAAATCTTGATGTCAATCAAAATCTTGATATCAATCAAAATCTTTTTAATCTAGTCTTGTATAAATCATTGAGTTACATTCTTCGTATCTTAGAATTTTGAAATTTCTCCCACAAACGTCTTTATATATATTTAAAATAAAAAAAATTGCACTCTAGCAGAGCGTGGTTTCGATCCACGGACCTCTGGGTTATGGGCCCAGCACGCTTCCACTGCGCCACTCTGCTTGTCGAGTGGTGTTCTGCAAAGGGTGAATAAACAGAAGGGTAGTTTTAACTAGTTACTAGCTTATTCGTTTAGCGAAAGAAATTCAATTTTTTTTAAATAATTGCAACATTTAATGCAACAACGATATTCACAATTAAGCTGTTAAAAATTAATTTTTTTCTATTTTATTTTTCAATAGATTTTTTACAAATACTTACTATTAAGCCACTCTTTAGAAAACTTCCTACAGTCAAGCAGAGTGGCGCAGTGGAAGCGTGCTGGGCCCATAACCCAGAGGTCCGTGGATCGAAACCACGCTCTGCTAAGTGTTTTTTTTTTCTTT